CTTTTTTTCTCTACGTGATTGCTGTCGTTGTGGACCCCCCCCGTCTAGAGAACCAACTTCCGAAGATCAATCTTCGACTATTACCGGTCGTTCACGTCATCACGAGCACAAGTCAGCAGTGTCTCGCTACCGCCTAGCAACTATATATGTAAAGAGGCTGATCAACTTACACTCTTTACAGCAAGCATGTCTTCTCATGCATTTTCCCCGTATGTCTATTAGGCTGCTTGTAAGTTTATGTTGTTGCTGAGATCATCATCTTAAATTATTTCCATAAGGGCAACTTTTCTAGTCTGCGATGTTCACTGTATTCCAAACTTTATTAAAACTTTTGTTATAAGGCACCGGTTGCAAGCATCGTAAAAGGAGATATTCCTCCCAAAGTATATCTGTCTCTGCATCGTTCCTCCATGTTGCATGCTGGCCTCCTGATCGATGTCTGCCGTTTCGGCTCCCATTAGAAAAAGTTCACAAGCTGCAGTAAATAGTTTCTGCTCAGCCAGTCTGTCTAACAAAATGAACCTCATTTTCTCGCATCCACTGAGGTCACATCTACCTGGAAGAGAATAGTCATTCCTTACGTGGTCCTGCCATTTAATCTTAATTGTGTCGAAGCCTACTCTGCTTTGTGCAGAGATCTACTATCCTTCTTGGTTCACTGTTAGAATGATGGTGTATATGCCGTACAACAATAATGATTTGTCAAAGGGAAGGTATAGGAGGATTTTTGGCGAAACGGCAATCCATTTCTCAGTCCAAAATTTAACAGATTATGCAAAGCATTTCAGGTTAGAGCGATCCTTCTATTTTACTGTGACTGAATGGTGCCATCGCTGCAAACCATATGCTTAAATTGGTCAAATGTCTAAAGCCTTCAGCCTCTCTGTTCTAACTGAATATCTGCTGTGCCATATGAATAACTCATAACTTTTGACTCCTTGGCGTTCAGGAAGAGGTCAGCATTCACAGCTGTGTTAAATACAAAAGCCAATAGGTGACGGCGTCAACTGTTTGTAAAACTCATCCGCGTACTCCAGATCGGCAAGATATGTTCAACCGCGTTTTCCCTCTGGAAATGTTGACATCGCTAAGGAAAACGTAGCTCGAACGGCAATGCTATGCATGTTTATGATATTGGCCGATTTGCAGTGGCTCCAAACAAGTTCCACATAAATCATCTTAATCGGCTGGTATTCGGTTATGAATTGCGTCGACTGCAACACACATGAAGTTTTGCCACCCCTGTCATGGCAATTGCGTTAAAATGACTGGACAGACTTGTCTTGCCGTCGATTTATTTAAAGGCGTTGAAACATGTCGATCTTCCGTAATTCGAAGATATGCGCCGACACGCAGTGGTCAGTGGTCAACACCACTCAGGTCAGCTACTTCGACGAAGGGCGAACATTAGTAACGGATGCCTTTCTGGTAAATCAGCCTACAACACGCTGTCAAGACCAGATGTTCAGGCAGTCGACCAGCATCGGTATGGTCTCACGGTATCAATCTGCTGGTCACGTATTATTCGAGAGTCCGACAGTTTGTTCAAATCGGCAAGAAATGCACTACTGGTCTGACGACACGAACAGTCGCACTAACATTAGGTTTGCCATTTGCATTGTTCATTTTATACGTCACGATGTCATCGATCCTATGCTACACTAGGTGCGTAAAGTACAGTGACGATATTGTTTCAGAACAAATCTGAACTGACGCGTTTCTTCGCCTCCATTCAACAGATAGGGGCCTAATGAGTGACAGTAGCTTAACATTTAATCGAAAAAAATCTGTCGATTATAATTTCCATCGTAAAAGGCGTGTTCCCAAAGCCCTACGTTATTTGCATAACAAACTTCACCTTATTTTGAAAAAAAAATCTACGGCAATGTACTCATGGTTGACTGTTATAGTGCTTTGGGAACAATGGATGGTAAAATGCGGGATCAATCTCGGTGTTGCAGATTGAGGAAGTCGTAGTCGGTTGAAAAGCGCTGAAAGGCTTCACCAAATCCTGCATTCTTCCTTTCTACAAAGGTCTGCTTCAGCAATCTCCGGAGAAAACAACTGGCTTCCAGTCGGATCCTTCACAAATTATTTGGCTCACCTTGTAACTGTGATGCTGGCAAGTTTGGATGTATCTTAATCAGATGTTTGGTTGATAAAGACAACAACTGATTTGGGCAATTCTAGTTCTAACCAACTTAACTCATCCGCTGTACCAACGGTGCGGACGAAACGACCAAACACAAGATCTGCGTTCTTTGCAGGTGCCAGACCGAGACATACTGAAGGTCAGTCGCTCTGTTCACTATCCGATCGATCTCGTCAAGAAATAACTGTTAGTTTCGACCATACTCTGGTCAGCCTGGCATGAATCCACTTCCACTGTTAGCTTTGTTCACTACTTTTTCATTGTTATATTCATAGTTTTGGTGACTTATCGTGTACCCTAGGGCTCAAGTAAGTAAATATCACTGATTGTCGGGTTTACCGTACGGTATAACGAGCCCCGACTTTATCTTGATTAACCGAGCCTTTATAAACTCGTGTACATTCTACTGTTTTCAGAGATATAAAGACGATTCTGACGCTTCCCATCACTTTTGCTTGAAAGCCAACATTACACATTCATTTCTACTTGAAGGCTTCGGTGAAACGTTTCTCTCAATCCTAGGATAAAATACTTAGTAGATGCTCAGACCAGATATCCCAAGTACAATATGAAGTATCTGCATAACTAATGTGAAGCTATGAACAGAGGAAAAAAATTTTGAAAAGCAAAGATGGGATTCCTTCATGCAATATTTGTTGCTAGGACTTTTCTGACTCGCAGTTTCATCTATCACACTGCTACTCCAACTCAAAATGTATTCAAATCAGTGATTAACAAGTTCTAACTAGAAATATAGGTCAAGAACTTTACCATACCGTTTTAATAACTTTAATAATAAACTTGATTAATTGTAATCAACATTAATGCGCATTGTTCTTTAAAGAACATTAAGCCTTTTGGATAAGCGAATCATTGACTTACGCCCACCTAACTTTAATATGAATCACTGTTTCTATCAATTCAATTCAAATTTATGATTGGTCGTTAAATGGATAATCCGATCTGTCACTGAAACTCCAAGACGACAAGAAAAGGCACGGAAGAACCATAGTAAAACAAGTGAACCAACGACACTGAACATGTCTGAAGAAAAGGGAAAACAACGAGGAGCCTGAAACTTACCTTTATTTTTTTCCTGAACCTCGAAAGCGGTAAAACA